GGAAATCATTTCTCAGGTTGTCAAAAATTCTTCGACAACGGGCTTCTTCACGGATTACTGATGGATAGAGAAGTCATTTCATAACGAATGAGAAGTCATTTCTCAACAAATAAGAAGTCATTCTTCTGTCATTTCTCTGGGAATGACCAATTAATCCTCTAGGAATGATAAATTATTCCTCAAGGAATCATAAATCTATCCTCAGGTTGTCAGAAATGTTTCCCCTGAAAAGTGTTCACGGAATAAAAGTCATTCCATAAAGAATGATAAGTCATTCCTCAGTGAATGAAAAGTTATTACTTTGTGAATAATTAGTTTTTTTTTTGTCAATGAATAACAATTCATTTCTCAAAGGATGTGAAGTCATTCTTCAGTGAATGCCATTTCATTTGGCAATGAAAAATACTTGATTCATATAATAAGAAATAATTCCCCAGGGAATGAAAAGACGCTCTTAACTAAATGATTTACAACTCCTTAAGGAATAATAAGTAGATGATATGAGCTAGGGAAGTTCCTCCTAAATGGTTTTCTCTATATGAGTTTTATGGCTTCAGTGTAAAGTACTCTCCAAGACCTTTTCACTGGAGGCCAAGTTTAAGTCGTCAAAGTGAGGTTGAATTAACGGGGAATCATTCCTCTGTGAATGAAAATAAATCTTCAAGAAATGAACTGTCATTTCACAGGGAATGAGAGACCAATACTCTGAGATTGAGACTTAGTTCCTCAAGGAATGATAAGTGAAATTATGTCATTCCTCAGTGAATGCTTTTAAATTATGTTATTCCCAAGTGAATGAGAAGTCATTTCTCTGTGAATGAGTATGAATTATTTAGATAATGTGTGTTGTTATTCCCCAGGCACTGCAAAATTAGTCCTCAGTGAATAGGGTTATCATTCCTTAGAGAATGATTTGTCACTCTACAGCGCAAAAAAAAAATTATTCCTTTGGGATTAAGCCGTAATTCTTCTGAGATGAAGCGCATATTGCTCACGGAATGAATAGTTATTACTCAAGGAATTATATATCATTCATCACTGAATGAGAAGTCACTTTCCCCCAAATGTTGAGACAGTCCGCAGTGAAAGACCAGACATTTATTTTGCATCATGTTCATCATCTTAGTTATGACATTTTTTCTTTAGCTCCTTTTTCTTACCTAAACTATAATTTCTGAGTACGTGTCGATAAGATGAGAATATTTAATTTTAAATCTAGCTTAAGGGCTAAGTACATAAGAAGCTTGAAGTCATGGCACGGCCTATTTTGTGACATTTCACAAAGGAATTACAGAGCCGCACTAAAATCCAGCCGTCGTTTTTCATTATAATTTGGCATTAATATGCCTAGCCATGACTTCAAGCTTTTTATGTATTTGCAGCCTTATGCCGGTTTTCAATACTTGAGTTCTATTTTGTAATTAGATTATGTGGTCACGTAGGCTCGATTTTTTTTTTTAAATATTCCTGTTTCTCCAATCGGTATCATAAATCTCTAGCATTTATATGTTAATATAAAAAATATTCCGTACAATTCCTGTTTTGTAAACTCAACGACCTTTGTTTTCGGCAAAATCCCATAATGAGTTTTATATTTAGACTCATAAAAATCTAGCCTCAAAGTCCATAACTCAGAAATTCAAGAATTTCAGGATATTACTTGGTATTTAAATTCTCTCGCTTATCGGTTATTTAGGCTGGTCATGGAAAATAAATTACTCATAACAACACTGTTCTGTGTATTCATTTTGACACTTAGCTCATCAAATTCATCGCAAAACTAAATAACAAATTATGCCGGTAAACCGAAAATAAAACCAACATGAATCTGCACAAAACAAAAAGTGACAGTTCCAACTCGAAAAAAACTAAACTGATCAACACAAAAACAGTCTTCAGGGCTATCTCAAGATATAAAGTGATTTTACTTCCGCACTATCATCTAAAACAAGACATCTTGAATTTTTTTTTTTCGGTATTGAAATGAACATTGCTTTAAAGCCAAGTTACGATAATTTGACTTTTATTGGATCAGCAGTCAGTCAGTCGCTTACTCGTGTGGCCGGCCATAGGTTACTTATTTTGTGATAAGTGCCCAGTTGCTAATTTTTTTTGTGGCTTTTTTTTTGCAAAAATATGACAGTTATATTATTTCATATCGTATGAAATTTTTCCGCATTAACTGACCTATTTTTAAAGAACAAAAACCACAACAAAAATATGATATTTAAACTTGTTGTTATTGAAAGTTGAACTACTCAACTGGAAGTAATTCAATGTCTTGTCGTTGATTTGCTGGTTTTACAATATTGCGATTGCCATGAGTTTCGGCGACAGCGCAGGAGGGGGAGGTTTATAATCATGAATTATGCACAAAAAAAATATGTCAAGTTTTGAATAATGTGCAGTTTTACTGGGTGCATTCCTGAAATACATACAACACATAATGCAAATATTTAATTTAAAAAGTTCCAGAAGAATCCTCATAAAATGTCAATTTGATATCATGGCATTTTTTGGGGCCTTAAGACGCGAATAATTCGATCAAAATAATGATAAATCTTTCCTTTGAAAATGAGAAAAAGATTTTCAAATAATTATACATTAGTTACCAATTCTAAGAAAGTCCTTCATTAAGCCATATGAAAGCTGTAGTCACTTCTAAGCGAATGAGAAGTCATTCCACAGTGAATGTCAATACATCCCATAATGAATGAAAAATGACGTTAGTCTTATAAGTAATAAAAAGTCATTCCCCTTTGAATAAAAAGTCATTCCCCAGTGAATATTATGTCATTTCACAGTGAATGAGACGAAATTTTTCATTGAATGAAAATCAATTCTTATTGGAACGATTATTCATTCCTCAAGGAATGTGATGTCATTTCTCAGCGAATGAGTAACCATCCCTTTGTGAATGGTTGTCATTTCGCAGAGAATGAAAAATCCTTCTTCATTCAAAGAAATGAAGGGTTACTCCTCAAGGAATGGAAAGTATTCAAAGAATGATAAGTCATTCATCAAGGAATGATAAGTTAATCCTCAAGGAATGAGAAATAAATGCTCAAGGAATGAAAAGTCAAATCCTCAAGGAATCATTCTTCAAGAAATAAGAAGTCATTCCTCAGGCGACAAAATATATATTTTCAGAAATTGATATTCCATATCTAAGAGATTGAGAAACCTTTCCAGGCATTCTTTATTGAATGGGATATCAGTTAAAAATGAATAGGAAATCATTTTTCAAGGAATACGAAGTCATTTCCCAACGAATGAGAAGTCGGTGCCCAGTGAATAAAAAGTCATTTTCCAGTGAATGAGAGGGAATTTCTCAGTGAATGAAAAGCAATTATTTATGAACTGATAATACATTTCACAAGGAGTGGGAAGTTATTTCTCAAAGAATGAGTAGTCATCCCTCAGTGAATGAGTGGTTATCACGCAAAGAATGAAAAATACTTCGCCAAAGAATCCTCCTCAAGCAAAGGAAAGTGCTCAAAGAATAGGAAGTCATACCGCAAAGAATGATAAGTTAATCCTCAAGATGTGATAAGTCAACCCTCAAGGAAACAAAAATCATTTTCCAATTAATTAGAAGTCATTCCTCTGGAGTTAAAATATATATTCGCAGAAATTGATATTTAATCTAAAGGGGAATGAGCAGAGTTTCCAGTCATTCTTCAGAGATTGAAATACAATTCTAAAATGAAAAGGAAATCATTCTTCAAGGAATACGAAGTCATTCCTCAACGAATGAGAAGTCACTCCCCAGTGAATAATAAGTCATTTTCCAGCGAATGAGAGGCAATTTCTCAGTGAATGAAAAGCAATTCTTCATGGACTGATAATACATTCCACTAGGAGTGGGAAGTCATTTCTCAAAGAATGTGTAGTCATCCCTCAGTGAATGAGTGGCCATTCCTCAGAGAATGAAAAGTACTTCCACAAAGAATAAGTAGTTATGACTTAAGTAGTGAATAGTCATTCTAGGCGAATGAGAAGTCATTCTAAAGTGAATGAGATATCATTTCAAAATGAATGGGAAATCATTCTTCAAGCAAAAAGAATTCATTCCTCAGTGAACGAGAAGTGATTTCCCAGGTAAATTCTCAGCAAATGGATTGTCATCTCTCAGTGAATGAGTGGAATTTCTCAGAAAATGAAAAATACTTCCTCAAATAATGAGAAGTCATTCATCAAGGAATGAGATGCCATTCTTCAAGGAATAAGAGTTAAAATATCAATTCTCAGAAATTGACATAACATCCCTCAAGGAATAAGAAGTCATTCCTTGGAGAATGGAGAGCCGTTTCTCAGAAAAGGAAGACCCATATGAGTTGTCAATCCACTGAGACATTCCCATTTCCGACAGAATGATAAGTCTTTCCTCAAAAAATGAAAAGTTTTTACTCAAGGAATGAGCTGTCTTTCCCAATTGAATGAGTACTCAATCCCCAGTGAATGGAATTAGTTTCTTAGTAAGAGAGTTGTCATTCATTAGAGAATAACATGTCATTATTGCAGAAATTATATGTCAATCCGTGGATAATGAGTAGGAAGTCACCAAGGAATGATGCCTTCGGATATGAGAAGTCAATTCTCAGATAAGAAGAAGACATTCCTCAGGGAATGATAGCTCATTTCTTAGCGAATAAGAACTCTTTTACCAAGAAGTGGATAGGCATGATTCTTAGATGAGAAATCATTTTCCATGACGTCAAACCTCAGGGATTGAGATATGATTCCACGGGTAACGAAAAGGGAAAGTCATTCCTAAGAGAAAAGTTCCTCCCACAAATTGGCCCACATCGAAGTGATTACCTTCACTCGTCCCTTAAGGGGATTGTAGCCTATCTAAAATTGTGATCCTTCTATAAGTGACATACTTGGTTCCTAAAATATGCAATGGAAATTTTGTCCTCAAAAAATTGAAGGTATTCACTGAGAATGGATATATAAATGTAATATGTTTCTATTTTATGCTTAAATATTGTACTTACCACTTGACTTCAAATTACTCCAGTTTTTCTTCCAAAAACAGTTCGTTTTTTAATCCATTTGTTGCTGGGTTTTTGATTGAGAAATCCTCGAATATTTCACAGAACCATTGATTTAATAATCATTCATAATATTTCATATATATTTTTTGTGTAATTCGTTATGCACCTTCGAAAAGAAATTGGTTTTCTTTCACTTCGTTTTGATTTTCCAAAATTTTAATTATAACTTTTCGGTGTTTTTTTGTAATCTATTTTCAAACAAAAACTTTTCGTTTTATATTCACTTTGCACACAAAAATTGTTAGAAAGTAAAAGTGATTTTATCCAAAATGAAAAAAAATCCGCAGAGATTAGTTTTCTAAAATTACAAAAAAAAAAGATTTTTCTATCACGTTTGTCGGTTGTTGTTGGTTTTTAAAACTCTCCTCTAATTGCTTTGATTTTAGTTGCTACTAATGATGGCTGGGGCTGAGCCAAAGTAACTGTTTTGTTGCTGCTGCCAAATATTGTTTCGTTTTGTTTTTTTCTGATCTCAGTCTTTGGTGGATAATTCACAACTCACTTCACTCACTAACAGCCAGCCAACTAACTCTTCTACTGCTTCTTCTTCTAAGGTAGTTGCCATTTGTTTGTTGTTGCTATTTCTTGCCATTAAAGTTAGTGTTTGTTGGCTAATGGAATTTATGAATACAAAAAACAACAGCAGCAACAACAACAACAAAGCAAACATAAATTTCATTTTCAATTCCAAAAACAAATATGCAGTTTGTTACTTTTTTTCTGTAAAGTTTTCGTCATTGTTGTTGCTTTTGGTTTTTGGAGGTATTTGGTTTCTCTGTTGATGGCAATTGGGTTGTGGTGGCAACCAACGTTGTTGTTGTTGTTAGTTTCTTGAAGAGAGGCAACATTAAAGAGGAGCCAGACGTGGGGTCACAGTCTGGTTTGATTTACCACTGGTAACCAGTTTTTTGTTTCTTACTCTGAGAACACAGAATGCCAGAGAGAGAAGAGAGAGTGTATTGGAGTAACCACAAAGTGAGTACCCATAAATAACTGCCATTATAAATAATAACACAAATATTTGATACCGTGGCTCGCACAAGAAAATAAAATCTAGTGATTATAAAATGTTAATCTTTGTTGCAATCCTGGCCCAAAGTTCAAAGGAGAGGAAAACTCACAGTTGCAAGGTTTTAAAATATTTAAATTTAATACATTTTAAAATATTTAATTTAAACATGTCACGTTATGATAACAATGTGCGGTTTAAATGTAAATACCAACTATTTTTAGGTGAACCCTTTAATGATGGCGTATTCTTTTTATACCCGCAGCCATATGGCCAGAGAGGGTGTATATCATTTGAAACGGCCGAAATAATGGTTTTAGACCCTAGGTCTCTTTGGAACAAATCCGTTTCAAGACATTTGGAGTCGATCTAGCGATTTCCGTCCGCCCATCCGTCTGTCTGAGTGGTGCGAAAGATACCTCTCGAAGGTAGTATCCGATTTCGTCCAAACTTTGCACATCGTAAGATTATTATTAAACTTAGATCGAGTTCAGATATGGGCAAAGCTTGAAATTTTCAAGAAAAAAGAAAATTTTTATTTTATAAATATGGTAGATATCGTGCCATTTATTCTAGTACCTCTCCCACAAAGGGTCAAAGTTTTGAATATCCAAAACGATCATAAAATAAGAAATAAGTATCCAGTTCTCTTAAAATTACACACATCACAATATTTTTATTAACCCAAGGTCTGGTGTGAAAATGGAATATATCGGCCAACTCCTGCTACCTCCCCACAAAGATTTAAATTTTTGTCCTAAACTCCTGTCCCTCTACTGGTAAAATACACGGATGATAATGCAACTCCATATTCAAGTTTTAACTAAATAAATAATGAAGAATATTTGTTGGAGATATAATCCTGTAGCTTTGTGTGTAATATTTCACTCAAATCATTCAGGTATTGAATTTGGGTCATGTTCTCATACATGGATGATAATGCAACCCCACAATTAAGCCAAATCTCATTCTATTAGATTTGAATGATATATGTCTGTAGAAGATCTAATTCTATAACTTTTATCTAACATATCGGTCAAACCATTCAGGTATTGAACTTAGGTCATTCTACTCATTTGGGCGCCATAATTGTAATTTTTAAGAGAACGTATTATATCAAAATCTCAGGCAATCAAGCATCTTATTTCCAGTAGATAATGGCTGTCAGAGCCAGAAAAATTACTGCACTCCACGTTGGGCGCCACTTTTATGTGAATTAACAAAAAATCTAAAAAACCTATTGAAAAATAAGAATTCGTCTTATTATTATTGTCATCTCTTTATTATTCTTATTTCGACTTCAATAATGTCGCGGAGCCGTTGTTTTTTTTTAATTTTTACTTTTCAAGCTGCAAAGCTCATTAGACACTTGTAAAGGTCCATTTAAATTTTGAATAATTTATCAAAAATTATATTTTTAGCTTTTTTAATAATAAGAACAATCACAGAAAATTTTTGAATTCAAAAATGATGTCTAAAAGATCCGAATAAAAATATTTCCTTAATTCTATAAAAAATAAATGCTTTTTCAAAAATCCTCAACTTTTAAGAAACGTTTTCTTTGAAAATGCGCTTTTCTGGTCGAAGAAATCTTATAAACTACCCATATGGCCTTTGGAAAAGTCACAATTTTTTTTGGATTGAAGATCTTTGAAAAATGTTTTAATAATAGTTCGAATAATGATAGAATTAAAAAGGTTATCTGATTTCAAATGAGCGTATCTAGCTCTGAATTTTCGGTAATTTAACATGTAACATTTAAATGCATAGAAAAAGGTTCCCATCTCTGATATGTGTGCAAACAATGGCTTTAAGAATTCTGACAATTAGTTGTTAAATTTATAATTTAAAAAAAAAATAAACCAATGATTACGCGAGTTTACTTTTTTAATTCTACTATGGTTTCAATATTCCTTTAACAAAACTATTTTCAAAAATATCAATTTTTAGCCTCTAAAGCCTTTTTAAATATCCATTTGGTTCACAATAAACCATTTAATTGAGGAGGGTGTGTCATTTTCCGCTGAGCTTCACTGTTCTCAGTTCACTGGGCCTAAATACGTTTCACTACCAGCCACAACAACAAAAATTTTAAGCAAAAACAAGATTTCTTTAACGGCAACTCTATTTCATTTCAGAATCCCCCCACCCTCTCAAACAAAACAACACCACACACAGAGTTTAATTTGGTAGGCATATGGAGTGTCGAGAGAGAACTTAAGGGAGAGTGAGAGATTCTGGGATTGAGATGGGGGGGAAATATGAGATGATTCCCATGATTCAGAGATCAGAAGAAAACAAAAAGAAAAAAATGCAACAAGACAAACAAATAAAAACAAATGAATAAATGTTAACAAATTTGGGTACTTTGTAAGGATTCAGTTGAGCTTTTGTATTAATTTAAAGAAATTGTATTAAATTATTGGCAATATTAACCTTTATAAATATTTAAGTTTATTAGCAGCAACAATTTAAATATCCATTAAAGATTTCTTTTCCAGTAGGTTTCCCCTTTCTATTTAGAGTTGTGGATACAACGCCACCAAAACTAATTTCTTTATTTTGAATTTTTCAGTATTTTTTAATTCTATTATTCATTTAATTAATAATCTTTAAATAACTTTTATTCACATTTGTAGTTTAATATTTTCGTTTTCTAACAAAATTGCCTGGCTCAAAATGCAACTATGCACTTTGGCCATATATTTACACACACACACGTACACAATGCAATGCACGAACGACAACGCAACTAGTAGCCACAACACTCTGCTGTCGATTTTTTGCTTTACAATTTCTTTTTCCGTTTTTATTTGTTTGCTTTCAAAAATTTAACCGTTTTGATCTTTCGTCAACAACCTCTCGCCACGATATCCTTCGTTTAACTAAAGTTTTGCTATTTGACTTAATAATGTGCAGCGGCGGCGGCGGCTTGTTGCTTGTGTCTTGTTTTGGTTTTACTCCGATTTTAGTTGTCGTCCACGCTCTCACCATAATTGAAACAAAACACCGTTGGCTCTCACACGCTCGCTCGCTCGCTCTCTGCCAGCAAACATATGCTCAACATATTAAAAATGACTTGCAACAACAACGACGTCAGTAATTTGTAATACAGGTTTATGTGAAATATAAAAACTAAATAAAACCAAGCAGACATTGCAATGCACGGTTGGTTGCTTGGCATGGTAGGCTAGCTAGACAGCATTTCGTGCTGTCACTACACCTCCCCCCATCAGTAGAGCATAACTAACTGGTCACCCCACCAACAACAATTAATAACAAGTGTATTTCCAGTTGTTGGGGAGAGAGAGAGAGAGAGTGTAGAAATTACCCGTGCCAGGCAGCCCATCAAATATGTCACACAAAGAGTATGAGAGAGCGACACACACAGGAAATAAAACAAGTGTCATACTTGTGATAGACAAAAAGAAGAAGAAGAAGAAGAATTAAAGAGATTGATCAATTTAATTGGGGTCTTTATGAATGACGACAGTCCATGTCAAAGGGTAGACAATTGTTTTATTTGTGTTTTTTTTTTGGACAAATGATGAACGGTGGCAGTCAAATTAGGCAAAGTAATCACATTTTCTATAGGTAACGGGGCACACTTTGAGTTTCATTTATGAATGTTGACAGTCCAAGTCAAAAGGTAGACAATTGTTTTTATTGGACTCGTGGTGAACGGTGGCAGTCAAATTAGGCAAAGTAATCATATTTGCTATAGGTAACGGGGCACACTTCAAATTTGATTTTTTTGTATGTATTGTTATGATAGACAAGGTAATCAAATGTTCTTTAGCCAGCCACACATCAAGTTTGATTAAAATCAGTTACTGGAAATTTAACAGAGTATTTTATTCATAAGAGCCCATAACGATGTATTGTATTCGTAGGAGACTTTAAGCATATCCTTCATAAAAAAATTGATTTAGGGGGCTTCTATTAACCGAATATTTAAACGAGGCTTCTTGGTCTTTTAAATTATATAAATAATACTTGGAGTAAAAAGTCTTGTAATAGACCAAAAAGAATAAGGGTAAAATATATTGATAAGTTTAATTAGTGCCTTTATGAATGATGACAGTGTTTTCTTTTATAGGTAACGGGTTTTATAATCGGTTTTATTTTAACATTATATATGTTAATTCAAAAAAAAGTCTTTATATGGATGGTCATTCCAGCGGAAAACCTCAAGTCGATGTAGTCATGTACGTCCGTCTGTTTTGATCACCAACCATATTCGGTATTTTGTTGATTTCAGTCTCAGTGGCTTAAAATCCGATATTTGAAGTTTATAATGGGTTATAAAGGTCGACGTATCTTATAAACCCCATATAATTGTACCTCTCGATATTCGGTATTTTGATGATTTTAGCCACAGTTTCTATCGGAACATTTTGTATTTGAACTTTATAATGAGTTCTACCTACTGTGGCAGAACATTGTTTATATAGATCGACGTTTTCTTATAACCCCCACATAGTTGTACCTCCCGATATTCAGTATTTTGATGATTTTAACCACAGTTTCTAGTGGAATAAATTAAAATTCTTTATTTGAAGTTTTTAATTAGTTCTATCTATTTTGGCAGAACATTGTCCACAAAGATTCATGCTTTTGTATATAATTGTACCTCCCGATATTTTGCATATGACGATTTTAGTCACAATTTCTAACGGAATAGATAAAAATTCGTTATTTGGAGTTCATAATCGATTATATTTCCTGTGACAGAAATTTGTTTATATAGCTCCACGTTTTCCCATAGCCTCCATATAGAGGTACGTTCCAATATTCGGTATTTTGATCATTTTGATTTATTCTCAAATTTAAACTTTTAGTTCTTCCTTAGATATGAGCGTACAGGTGGCAACAAATTTAATTTTTTCCCCGACCAAATATTTTGTAATATTCCCGCCTACTACATCCTCTATCAAGGAGGGATATAATCTAAACCTGAAAACTAAAATATTAGCTTCATAAGTAATGCGAGACTTGAATATGGAATGGTTGAATTTTTCCTCCTTTTACTTTTAGAAAAAGTATTAAAATTGACAGATTGAATTTGCTATAATATCGATAAAAGATTGTCATCCCACATTTTCAGTCAAATTAGCATCATATTAATTACAGGAAATTGAAAAATATAAATAAAATTCTTCTTCCAACGATATGGAACTCATAAACGTTTTATATTTGCCAAGGAACGCCGAAAATGAGAGATTATTTATTATATATGTAAAAAATGCCACTCGTCATACGTATATATTTTAGATATAATCATAATTTGTATTTAAATAATGACAAGGCCGAGTTTATTGAAACAGAGTTGCCATATTCGATTTAGCAAATGGTAGAGGAATACTGGTATTCGCATCGAAACAGCTGCTGGGACAATGAACTGTCAAAACAATTTTGAAATTGAAAATTTCGAATGAAAAACTATTAAAATTTGTAAAAATTGTTGAAAAATGCATATCATAACAACAGTCCGATTGGTGTTGTGTAAGAAAAATTTTAAAAATCGTCCTATTTTTGAAAATAAAAACATTTAAAAATTTTTGACATATCAATGTTCCCAAACGTTGATGTATCCACCTGTATTCTTCTATCATGGTATGTACTTTACTCATGCATTTCACAACTGAAATATCGTCCATGTATCACACGATGTGTGCAACTTCTACATATGGAAAATTTGACACTATATATGTAAGAAACATATCGTGTGATGGGACCTTTATTTGACGTATAACCAAAGGAATTGAACATATAAATCAAGATCTTCACCAAATAATATTACGCTTTCTTCTCCTGGCTCTCCTTTTCTTATTCCATCAATTAACCAACCAAACAAGAACCTGAAGAAGTTCCCACATGAGTACTTTATCCATTTATATTAATGGTTAGAACATCAATCAAATTCCGATTATAAATACTCGTTCCTCCACAATGTGGCCATTTAATTGACAATCCTTTGCTTTTTAGAGAATCTAACCGCAACAACGACAACAACAACGAAAGAAGTTATGCGCAGTATCACGGGAATTTATCTTGACAGACGTGAGTGGTTACATAAAAAGCCCGCAGATTGTCAAAAAAAAATTATTCAACACCACCTCCCATGCTCTCACTCCCTCTACCTTTCTCTCATAAAACCAAGGCTTGGAAACTGGGAAGCTGAGGAAAAATTATCTCATGTCTCCAATGTTGGAAGCAAGAAAAAGGAATGTTGACCAGAAACATATTTTCAATGGAAGAAGCCGAGTAAGGAGGAGACAACCACAAGACAATGCCTTTATTTTGGGAAGGGGGAGGAAGGAAGCCACACAATAACAACAACTACATGCATACAACACAAAAGATGATAATCATAGCTAAGCATTCCATGTTGTTTATAGAGAGGTATTAACGATCAGCCCAGCTCGTTGGCTGGTCAGTGTAATCAATTGAGTGGTAGACAACAACAAGACATGGATACCAGAAGACAAAACAAAAAAAAAACAATTGCACAAAGGGTGTGTGACTGCGGGAGAAAAGCTTTGAAAGCATTGCTGGAGTTACAAATTTCAACAAAAGGGCTTGCCTGCACCACCAATCCCGCCAGAACAACATAACAATTGCCGATAAAGAAAAAAGAAGAGAAAAAATAATATATAAACGTTAAAAAGAATCCTTTGAACAAGATCAAAAGCGGCACAAAAACATTTTTCAAATGAACCATCTCCAACGGCAGCAAACCGCAGCAGCTAAAGCAGCAGCCAAGAAACTGCCAACCACAGACCCGACCCGACCACAGGATAAAGTAATTTTCTCAAATGATCACCTTTCTTCTTCTTCTTGTTCTTCATTGACAGCGGACACCATGGATGGGAAGTTTAATATAATGGGACATTTTTCGTTTAGTAACTTGGGTAGTCAGTCACATAGTAAGTTTGAATATGGCGTTTGTTTTGAGTAATACCATGTTCACATTGGTATGTTAACAACATTGCATGGTAGAAGAATACAGGTGGTCGCATCGACACACCCGCTGGGACAATGAACTGTCAAAGCAATTTTGAAATTTAAATTTTTAAATGAAAATTTATTCAAATTTGTAAAAATTGTTGAAAATGCATATCATAACAATCTCCGCCAACGTATAGGAACATTGATATGTCAAAAAATTTAATTTTTTTTTTGTCATATCAATGTTCCCAAACGTTGATGTATCTACCTGTATTCTTCTATCATGGTATGTACTTTACTCATGCATTTAATTTGATGTGTGAAACTTCTACATATGGAAAATTTGACACTACCTACATATGTAAAAAACATATCGTGTGATAGGACCTTTATTTCACGTATAATAAAAGGAATTGAACATATAAATCAAGCGCTTCACCAAATAATATTCGTCTTTCTTCTTCTTCTGGCTCTCTTCTTATTATTCCATTTTTTGAAATTTTTAAATGAAAATTTATTCAAATTTGTAAAAATTTTTGAAAATGCATATCATAACAATTTCCGACAACGTATAGGAACATTGATATGTCAAAAAATGTTAAATGTTTTTTTTTTCAGCAAAAAAAAAATATATTGTTTTCCTGTGTTCGGAGGTTGTTAAGATATTCCTTTTTAATTTTTTTTACAAATTTCATAATTTTTCATTCAAAAACGTCAGTTCCAAAATTGGGTTTGACAGTTCTTTATCCCAGCAGCTGTGTCGATGCGGCTACCTGTATTATTATACCATGTAAGCTCTTAGCCAAAAAAAAGAAACTGCAACAAAGTCAAACGTCATAATTTTTACATTTTCTTTAAATTTTATTAAATGAAAGCAAAAAATGTCGGAAATAGCATCAAATTGGAATGTCCAAGGTCTGCGGCGAAAATGTTTGCGTGCCCAAGGCTTAAATTCACCCTCCAGAATATTTTCGCGATAATATTCGGCATTTATTCTGATGCCACGGTCGATTAATACGAGCGGAGAGAGGCAATCGGCTGTTATGGCGTTATGGCCCACACCATTACCATGGCCGGCTCTTGAGTTCTGGTGGCCAACCGAAGGTGCACATTTTCAGCTGACCTCTTTGACACGTAAACACGATCATTTTGTTCGTTTACAAGCTACAGGACAACGAATGTTTTCTCATCGGAGAAGACCAAATTCGGCAGTTCACCAAGCGAAGCAACTCTTTAGTTCTTTT